CCCCCCAGGAGCTGGAAACCTTTAAGACAGAGCTAGAGTCAGCCAAGTCAGAGCTAGAGTCGCGACAGAGGAAGTTTGACGAGGAGAGAGAGGCTCAGCTGGACAAGCTGGAGTTTGAGAAACTGAAGCTGCTGGACATGGAGAGACAGGACAGGTACGGCCGGGCTCCGTAATCGGGGGTCGTACGCCACACAAATGTCATATCATCAGCGTTTTTTCACACTGGCCCAAATTATTCTCAGTCAGATTCCAGATAAAGCCTTTTTTAAAATAATAACGACATCAAGGGGAAATGTTACAGTATAGATTTACAATGTATATTGTAAAACACGTAGAGCTTGCTGTTGAACAGGAATTTGTGCTATGCAAATGCTATCTATTACTATTATATCTTTTTCATTATTTTCTTTCTTGTTTTCAATTGGAAAATTGTGAGTGCCTTGGTCATGATTTTCATATGGACATTCATTTTTTTTTCTTTCATTTTCTCAAAATTTCACAAAATGACATGTGCTTGTCAAATGACACTGATGTTATATTTATCATTATATTTATCATTATTATTATTATTATTGTTGTTAACATTATTGTTATTATTGTTGTTGTTATCACAATGACAATCTTTAATGATCTCGCAGGGAGAAATTTGTCTTGGTCGTTAACAATGGCAGTAGATGTTACAAAGGTTTGGTGCACTCACGTATATACGCACAACGAGACAGGACATGAGTAAAAATATACATGTCTCACGTGCTGGGACAACCCGCTCCGTAAAACACTCTCTCTCTCTCTCTCTCTCTCTCTCTCTCTCTCTCTCTCTCTCTCTCTCTCTCTCTCTCCTCTCTTTCTCTCTCTCTCTCTCTGTTGTTGTTATTATTGTTGTTGTTGTTACTTTTATTATTATTATTATGTGCTTCCCACATCAGAGTGAACAGCCTGGTGGAACAGGAAGTGAAGTGTCGACTGTTTGAGGAGAAGCTGGAGCGTGAGCGTCTACGTAAGGCGGAGCGTGAGCGAGAGAAGCAAGAGAGGGACCGGGAGATACAGAAACTCAAGTCTATGCACCAGAGGGAGATGAACCAGCTCAAGGCTAAACTAGAGGACGGGTACAGGCTTGTTGTTGTGTGGTGTTAATATTGTCGTGTGATGTAATTTTGTTGTTGTTTTGTGGTGTAATGATGTTGTTGTGTATTGCTTTTTCTTTTCTGGTAAATGTTTTACGGCGCTGGCAACTGCATATGGTCATATGAGTGTGTGGGACACATTAAACCTTTTCTGTGTTTTTAGGAATTTTTTATTTTGCCCAAGTGGCAGCCGGAGCCTGCTCTTATCAGTTTTAGGACCACCAAAGAATCTTTAACTTGCGCAATTTGCACACAGGACTTCCGATGTTTTTCGCCCTTATCCGAGAAGGCTAAGTGTTAGATCTTACCTGCCAAAAGATCAGGGGTGTGGCTGAAAGACAGCAGTAAGACAGAGCCAAAGAGCAGCACTAGAAAGGCTGCAGAAAGAGTCAAGAGCCTCGGCACGTATATGACCTTATTGTGTTGCAAGTGCTGTAAAATTCTTACTAAAACTTTAAAAAACCAGGTTTGATTGTGTGATGGTTTTGATGTGGTTCTTGTTGTTGCTGTGTAGTCTTGTGCTGGTGTTGATCGGTGTGTAGTTATTGCGCTGTGTAGTTGTTGTCATGGTTGGCATCGTTGTGGGTGTGCAGTGGTGTTGTCGTCATTCTTTGCCAGTGGTGTTATCGTCATTGTTTGTTTGCCAGTGGTGTTGTCGTCATTGTTTGTTTGCCAGTGGTGTTGTCGTCATTGTTTGTTTGCCAGTGGTGTTGTCGTCATTGTTTGCCAGTGGTGTTGTCGTCATTGTTTGTTTGCCAGTGGTGTTGTCGTCATTGTTTGTTTGCCAGTGGTGTTGTCATCATTGTTTGCCAGTGGTGTTGTCGTCATTGTTTGCCAGTGGTGTTGTTGAAGTGGTATGGCTTTGTGGTTGTGTTGACAGACTTGGTTGGGTGTTGTCTACGTGGATAGATTTATGTTCTTGTGGTTTACATTAGTTCGGGGGGAGGGGGGGTGACCGGTGTTATAGAGCTTTTTCTAGCTGTTTGAAAGTTTATCATGAAGGATCTATGTTTTTGGAACCTGTGTCTGTGGTGCAGTTGTTAACTGCTTTGCTGTTGCATGCAGGAGGTGTGAGTTCATTTCCGGTGTGGGGAGAATTTTTCATATAAAGTATCACTATCTTTCTGCTTGGATGTTGTATCCTTCTCATCCCCTGTTGGCCCAGACAACCATGATCACCCCCGGGGCTGTGCCAAGTGTCTTTAGGCCATTCCCAAAGGGGTGACATATCTCGTTCAAGCATAGTAGAATTGTAAATGGGCTGTCTCATGTCACGCTCATAACTGTACCTGATCTACAACAGGGAACTGCTGCCTTTTCTTTCCTGATCCTTACTATTGTCATTTTCCTCTACTTCTTTTGTATGTTTGTCACTC